ATTCTGGAGTCTCAGGAAAATCTCGCCGTCGGCGGCCTAGTTCAAATTTGCACATTTTGATCGAATACATTTCTTTAAAGTGCAATATCATCAAAAACAGTATAAAATAGGTATTAAAATCTCAACATATTTTCTTTGGGTCACTTGATATTTATTTTTGGTTGAGAAATGAAACTATTAGATAAATTTCTTCCTTCCGATCGACAGTTCCCTCCTTTGTAATTTGAAGCTGTTAGGCTGGGTCGTGATAGTCAAAACATGTTAGGAGACATACCCAACATGATGATAAACTAGAGAGATTCGCTCAAACATAAATGCAAGACACTATTATTAGGTTAGTGTAGATAGAGAAAATAATGATGTAGTATGAAACAAAGTTCACAATACTGTCGAAGCTGCATCGCAACTATCACTATTGTAGATAAATTTTATAGGTTTCTTCTTCGATTAAAGAATTGGATCAGGCAACCATTGACTTCTTTAGGAATCAATGAATACTCAGTTTCGATAAAGCGGGCTAGACAAGTGAAGATTGATTATCAACTCACTTAGAAGCGGTAATATATGCATAGGCGGAATAGTATTGATGAGGGAGAGCATGTTAGTCAATCAAAGGGATCAATTGGGAAGAAGCCGAAGTTCAATTCTAATAAATTTAGTAGTGACACAACTCGCAGTATTGTAGCCTCATGTGTCCAATGTGATAGATAGCATAGGGGTGAATGCTTGATGAGGATATGCTATTGGTGTTGACAGCATGGTCATATAGTGAGATATTGTCCATCACTTTGTTAAAGGACTACTAAAGATCAGAAATCAAGTAGAGTAATTTCACTTCAGACTGTAGGTGGGCAGAGAAGTATAGAATCAACAGCTTCAGCTCCTACCTAAGGTCGTCTACAAGAGTCAGTTCGACCGCGAGTTTATACCCTTACTCATAGTGTGCCTGAGTAACCCACTCCTGCAAATGTTGATGCTAAGATGATCTAATGAGTATTATGTTTCAAATGTGTCTTTATATCATATTGTTGCTTCAATTATTGTTTTTTTTTAGTTATGTTATATTACTTTAAATATGAAAATTGAGATATAGACTTCTTCATGGACATTTATAATAATTCATGTGTTTTCTACAATGAGAAGTGACTTATTGGAAGTTTTAGATTTCAAGGACGGATGGGGGGAGGCTTATAATGCTCGGTTTCCAACAATTAAAAAACTGGAATGAAGTATTTCGTATTCTGGAAACAAAAATAAATAGTCGAGACACACAATTTAAATGGAGATAAAAGGAGGAAGAAAGAAGAGAAGTAGAGAAAGAGCAAGGAAGGTAGAGAAAAAGAGAAGATGTCTTGTGCATATCCCTAGCAGACAAACAATTGAGATAAAGGAAGACGTTCAGTTTTGAGGTGCAGGCAACCAGAAATAAGATAAATTTAATTGTATTATTTCAATTTAGTTTCTTAGTGGCTCTTTCATTTCATTTGGACAATAAATTATTTGTTATAGAAAATATAAATAGAAAATTTTTATTATTACCTTCCAATCGTGTGTTCCAGTCTTGAAAAATTCTAAGTCTCAACCCGACTAGTGACAATTTATTTAGGCTATTCACATATGTTCTTTAGTCTGCTCCGAGGAATCCTATGCTTGGGCTTTCACAACACCCACATTTTCGAAAATTGAGAACTGTAATTTGTAATAGAAAGCTTTGTTAAATCAGTTGATCTGGAATTCTTATTTGTGATTCTTCTTTCTGTTTGTTCATAGCACACATATTTATTGAAAGGAAGATTTACATGCATACCACTCTGCTCTTTCATAATGACATATCTAACACTTAAACTTAAGTTTTCACATATATGCCACCTTCCCTATGGGTGAAAAGGTGTACTTCAAATTTTGCAGGTAAAATAAGTGGTATTTTCGATATAATATGAAATTCGGGTGGCATAAATGTAATTATTAAAGTTTTGGTGTTAGATATGCAAATACGTAAGAATTGGGCGGTATTTATGCAAATGACAGTTTTCTTTTGGTTCATTTAGACACAGAAAAGGCATTAAAATGCTCTGAATTGCTCTTTTCCCATTCTCGATGCTTGATTGCCTTTGAAGTAAAAATAATACAAGCAGCTTCTTGTTGTACTTCTTGGAAGGAATTCCTTATACTTGTTCGCAAGTCTCTATCACTCATAGAAATTTGCACTGAAAAAAAGTAATGTAAGAATGTCAATCAAGTGGCAGTCATAATATTAATATAATATATTTTATTTATATTTTAATATATAATATAATATATTTAATATTAAATATTAAATAATATGATTTATCAGAGATAACAATGACGATCATGCAAATTGTCCGCAAAAATGCTTAATTTTATAAATATTTAAAACTCTTACAAAATAATTTGAGTGTTTTAAAAAATAATTTATTAATTTAAAAATAATAAAAAATTTAATAATAAGAACTTTAAAGCTATTAATATCCTCATTAAATAATTTTTGTTGAACAGGCCAACAGAAGATAGACAGATGGAGCAAAGTGAAGCTGCCGGCCGCAGCATCCATTTGCCTATTTCCTCATTAGTTTATTCCTTTAAAATTCAACTCACCTTTGAATTTGATAGTTAATTGTACAATTGAATTCTCTTTCCAGTTAGATGCTCTGTGCTGCTTCTTTCTTTTCTATTTTTATCATAAATAATTTATTAATGAGCCCAACGTGTTCAGTTTACTTTTTGTTTGAATCAATTAAATAATTTAAAATAATTATAATTATATATATATCTATTATCAAATATTAAAAAAAAAAATCTAAAACACTTATGTTAATTCAGCTATCCTGCACCCCTTCTTGTTGCCTCAGGTCACCGGACGTAAATTTATGCCCAGAGTAGTGGATACTTATCATCATGTGACAAGTGTGACCTGCTATAATAAATTTTCTCACATCTTAACCAACAATCGTTTATTTTCCCCTTTTATTTTGTAGGTGGAGAACTTGGCGCGTCTGTAGCGCTAATAGGGTTAAGGCTTCTTATTTCTTTTCGTTGTCGTCATGATTTGGACGAAAGCCTAGGAATCGACAAACCATTCCCGGCATATCTTGCTCTTGGAGAACGAGACAAGTACTTATCGATCTCGTTTTTTTAGTTGTGACTAGCCTTTCGAGAGCTTTCTTATGCTCTCTCTTCTCACCCTTCTATTGCTATTACTTGTTAAATATATGCTCCTGTATGGGAGATGACATGCCAATGAGTTCATTATCGATTTTTGGTTAATTTTTTTTATAGCCGTCTTTACAAATTCGTCACTTTTAATGTTAAACTTCGAGCCAATTCGAGCTCTATCGAATAACAAGAGCCATTTCAAACTATTTCTATTTGAACACAATCACAAACTTATCATACAAATACTCACACGAGCCGAAATTGAACGCAATTATCTTCGGACGATCCAAACGAACATAGCCTCAACTCATTCGTGTTCGACTCGTTTACATCCCTAATCCCAATTAACAAAAATAAATAAAATTCAATTGTATATAATTTATGAGTTCCTGAGATTAGGTTAATTAGACTCCATAAAACAGTGGTGAAGATAGAATTTTGGCAGCATTAGCCTTGAATGAGATCTTTATTTAATTAATTAACTAATTATTTGATTAGAATATCCGAATGGATGCTTGTATTAGCTGCCTATTTTCAAATTACAAAATTTATTATTATTCTTTAGTCTATTATTTTTAATTTGACAGGTTGATGGCATTTTAACACCTGCAGACTCATTAAAGATATTTAATGTATCTTCATATGACTTGATAGTACATTTAATTCCACCCTCAAAACTATTGCAAAACACAACTGCTTTCTGATGTGGGACTAAATATATTATGGCACCATGCATGAAAACAATTTCAATTTTTTTTTTTTTTTTTTTTTTTTTTTTGGTTTTTTTTTTATTATAATTTTGCTTTCTCTTCATGAATATTTATGTTAAATAAATATATATTTTTAAGAAATTTTAAAAAATTTAATTGATTTTAAATAAATGTTATAAAACATTTTTAAATTAATTTTAATACTTCAATATTGATTATTTTAATTATCTAACAAAAAATTTTAAAAAATTTTCAACCTTGGCCCTACTCATGAATGAAAAAAATTTAAGATATTTTTGAAATTTGTGTCACCATTAAAAAAAATAAATAAAACTCCACCCCTACATGTATGGTACTAGTTTGAAATAAAACCAAAGTTCATAAAACCTCATAACACATTGAACCTAAAGAAGAGAATGTTCAAGGTTCAATGGTTGAACCTGGGTCGGGGGCTGAACTGATTTATGCCATAAATATTAAAAAAAAAATATTATATATAAATTAAATGACATACAAATTAGTTAGAATTTATTATAGAGGGTCAATAAGATCTGAAATCATTAAAAAAAAATCATAAATATAAAAATTGAAAACGCAATAGACTAAAGCTAAAGAAGAAAACGAAGCTGTGAATGAATGGTGATTGGTTCGACCGCCTATTCTTTTAGGTTTAATGCAAAGCTAGTTTTCAGGCCAAATAGAGTTAGACCACCGACTATACTTCACAGACGTGGATTTGATTTTTAAAACATAGTGCTCATCGATAAAAAAAGAGATATATATGTAATATGTTGCATACTCTTGATTAGCATTCACGACATAAAACCCCTCAAATTGGGGGTTCGAATCCCCTTTAATATAATTGACCTTAAGGATGTGGTACTCGAATTGCTAGACACATTAAGGAAAGCTGAGGCTCGTATGATAACATCTGACCATTTCTTTAATATACATTTGTATATGTATGTATATATATATATATATAT